AGTTGTTTTTTATCTCATTGATTGATTAATTAATTGTATATTAATTATATATCTCAGATTTACTGTTCCCATTTTATGGGACAAGAAACTTGGAACAATTGGTAAATTTCTAATTTTGTAGTAAAAAATGAATCAAATTAAAAAAATTTAAATATAAAATTGAGATTTTTTTTTTTTAGTCAATAATGAATCCCATGAGATTATGCATATGTTCGATAAAGTATTTGATAAATTTCTTCCAGAAGAAAAACGAAAATCTTATTTTCCCGAATCTTTAAGTGCAGAAATTGACGAAATTGACAAATGGTCAAGATTTGAAGAAAACGCCCTTATAACTGGTACTGCCAAAACTCAAAAAGAATGTAAGTTTCTCTTTAAAGAACATTATCATTATGATTTTAAAGAAAGTGAGTAATATACTATGCCAACTGCTCTTTTTTAGATGATGAGAATGTTGTTGTTGTTTTTGAGATCTTGGATAGAATTGAAGAAATTTTATCTAAAAAGCAATTCCTCACTGGTCCCATCTTTACCGGAGCAGATATCAAAGTTTGGACCATGATCGTAAGGTAATGACATTTTGTTATCGAAAAATAAATTTATATAAACTGTCTCCTCATTTCATGATGTTCACTTGTTCATCTTACGGGTTCTATTGAATAAAATAATAGATTTGATCCACTTTGCACCATCTTCTTAAGATGTAATCTCAAGCTTATCAGAACCGATTATCCAAATATTCTTCGTTGGGCAAGAGAAATTTATCAAATGCCTAAACGTAATAAAGAAACACTTTTTATTTTATTTTATTTCTACTCATAACTGAGAGAATTAACTAATTATTTTTAAAAATTATAATAGTTGCCGATACTTTAAATATGTATCATTGTAAACGCATGCTACCCCCGGGGGTGGATTCAACGATTATCCCTATTTATGATGGACCAGGTAATAAAATTATACCTTCCTTTTTTTTTTTTTTGCTGTAACAGTAAGTATTCGATAAAATGTTCCTATTCATTTTTATTCATGTAGATCTTTCGAAGCCTATTATCAGATCATAATTGAAATTGAAACTAAAACAATTATTAATTATGTAATCGGCCTTATATTATTAATAAATACACTTGTTTGACATCCTTTTTTATTTTATTTTTAAAGAATAATAATGTCAACAGCTGGAAAAGTGAGAATAAAAATAATGCATATTTTTGATAATAGTAATAAATTATTTGAATTATATTTTTAAATATTAAATAAATATGCAAAATATTGTTAAATAGATTATCAAATGTAAAGCTGCTATTGCTTGGGGACCTTCCCAATCTTTAAGTAATTTTTTTTTTATTAAAAATAATCAAGTTCATTTTTATTTAAGTTCACTCGATTTTAGTTTCTTAAACGAATTCTCTAATTTTCATGACATGACTAGGTATTGAGGAAGTTGAAGTTGCACCCCCAAGAGTAAAAATTTTTTTTTTTTTAAAAAAAAAAATGTATACTGTGATTCTGTTTAATGAAACCTTTTGACATTCGAATAAACTTTTCTTTTTTTTTTAAAAAAAAAATAGGGAAAAGAAGTTCGACTTCAAATTTTGGCGACTGGTGTGTAAGTTATGAGTTTTTATTATTGAAATTGGTTTTCAGGTAATTTTACAGCAGTAGCAAATCTTATCGTTTTTATAGATGTCATACAGATGCTTATAGATTATCAGGAATAGGTATATTTTTTATTTTTCAAAATGGATATTTTATATATAATTAAATGTATATATGTATACTATATATATATTTCAAAGATCCTGAGGGTTCAGATTGGCCAGTTATCCTTGGTCACGAAGGAGGTGGTGTAGTCGAATCAGTCGGCGAAGGAGTAACCTCGGTGCAACCTGGTGATCATGTAATTCCGTTGTATACACCAGAATGTCGTAAATGTAAATTCTGTACTAGTGGAAAGACCAATTTATGTTCTTCAGTGCGATCTACTCAAGTATGTATTAATTTAATAATTTATCGAATATGAATTTACATATTTAAATAATGTAAATAATGTTTAAACAATGTTTAAATATATTTAGGTACGTGGGTTGATGCCTGATGAAGAAACACGTTTCACTTGCAAAGGAAAGAAAGTTTATCATTTTATGGGCTGTTCTACCTTCAGTGAATACACTGGTAATTTATAATATTATCATAATTCAAGATTATTTTTTGGATCATCTTTAAGGACTTTGTATAATTTTTAATTCTGACACTCTGACACATTATAAATCCTAGTTGTATTGGAAATTTCAGTTGCTAAAATTAATCCCGTAGCACCGTTGGATAAAGTTTGTTTACTTGGATGTGGAATCACTACTGGTATGCATTCTATACATTCTTTAAAGGAATTTTCATGAATTTTTCCAAAATTTACATAAATCTACACAGGTTACGGGGCTGTCATAAGGACCGCTGATGTTCAACCTGGTTCAAGTGTTGCGGTATTTGGTTGTGGTGGTGTTGGATTATCTGTTATCTTAGGTGCAAAGGCTCGTAATGCTAGGTAAGTATAATTAAAAATTGTTTTAATTACAATTATATAATTAATTATTTTATGTGACTTTAAAATTATTATTTTTTAAGTCAAATTATTGCTGTTGACAAAAATCCCAAAAAATTAGAATATGGTAAGTTTTTTTTTTTTATTATCAAAATTTAATAACATTTTAATAATGGTTTATTAATGTTTTAAAATAATATAATTTATTTTTTCTAGCAAAAAAATTGGGTGCCACTTCATGTATCAATCCTGATAAATACGATACTCCTGTTCAACAAGTAGTGATATTTAATTTGTTAATTAATGAAATATAGTTTTTATTTTTATTTTTATTTAATTTTTATTTTTTAATTTAATTGGTTAGGTTTTGATTGAAATGACTGACGGAGGATTGGATTATACTTTTGATGCAACAGGCAATACTAAAGTCATGCGTGCTGCATTAGAGGTTCATTCTATTATTCAATTGTATTATTTAATTAATCTTATAATTTTAAATATTTTAATAAAAAAAAAAAATTTTTTTTTTTTGATTTTTATGTTCTTTCGCTAAGTCATGCATAAGAGGATGGGGTCAATCTGTTATAATTGGAGTTGCAGGTGCAGGGGAAGAAATTTCTACACGTCCATTTCAACTTGTAACAGGTCGAACTTGGAAAGGTACCGCATTTGGTGGAATCAAAGGACGTACTGAATTACCTGGTCTAGTTGAAGATTATCTTAATAATAAATTAGAAATTGATATGTTTGTTACTCATAAATTTAAATTGGAAGAAATCAATAAAGCTTTTGAAATTATGCATGATGGAGATGGGTAAACTTCTATTTATTATTTTTTTTTAATGGAATTTTTTTATTATTATTATTTTTTTTTTATTTTTCTGATTACTAATTACTTAATTTGAAAATCTTGAATTTTAGTATTCGTTCAATCATTTATTTTGATTAGGGAATTATATCAATTATTTGTGTGTGAAATAGATAATATATTTTACTATTAAATAATTAATGTAATCTTTTAAGAATGAAAAACGTAGAGAGATATATATATATATTTTAATTATAAATAAATAATATAAAAGTAATTAAACTACTCATCGATAACTTTCATGTTTCCTCTTTCTCCCTTTTGTTCAATAGTCATTTTAGCAGTTCTAGCTCCAAACTGTATAGCTCTTTTATACAACACACTAGCCTTTAATAATCCTAATTTTCTTGCTACATGTCTTAATAATAATTTTTCTCCAATACCTCTTGGATATCTCATATCAGCTTTAAAATGTATTGGTAATGAACACAAAAATGAAACAACTTTTGTAGATAAATATGGAAATCTGGATTCTTTTGCATGTGATGAAATTATTCTATCATCTCTTCCTATACATATATATATATTTTATATATTTGGATATATTTGAGTGTGGAAATTTAGAATGTATTTTTAGAATGTATTTTGTTATTTAATTAATTGATATTATTATATTTATAATTAGTTAAAAGGGAGAAAATTTACCCAAATTTCTTTTTGATATCCTGTTCACATCCAATTGTACCTGAAACAATTATATAATTAATGGTATGAATTCAGATTTAATCTTTAATTTTTTGATACTGATAATAATTTACCTCTTCAATTAATTTTTCCCAACCACCTTGTTTGAATGCTTCACGATGTCTCGAATATCCTGCTAATAACTCATCTGCACCTACTCCAACAAGTACTACTCTTGCTTTACTTTCATGATCTACCATTTTCTGTTAAGAAAATTAAAAAAAAAATTTTATTCAATTTAATTTAATTTGATTTGATTTTTTTTAAATGAATTGTAAAATACCTCTGATCCATCTACTAAGCATTTAATTTGACCTTTATAAAAATATCAAATATTATTTTCAGAATATTTTCATGATGAATTTAAATATTTTATGATTTAACAAACCTTTGCCTCTTACAGCAAACCAAAATGCCATTGCAATACTCTAAAAATAAATACAATAAATAGATGGCTGTAGAATGTTAAATATATAAATTAAATATTAAAATAAATATTTTACCAAATCCATTATTGTATCAGAAGGAGCCATCAATTTCAATATTTCATTTTTATATTCACATGCTTCATTATATGAAACATTTACTTCTATAAAGTTCCATGTCCTATTTGGTGAAATTTTTCTAAAATAAAATTAATTCATAAATAATTATTATATCTTTACAAAACTTTGATTATATAATTTATTAAATCTGATTTTTTTTAATAAATATTACCTCAATTCAATAACACCTTGCCTTCCTGTAATCCTATCAGGTACATCATATATTGAATTTGTATTCCCTTGAATACTTTGAACATCTTGAACATTTTTTTTCTTTTTTCCAGATTTGGCTTGTTGAATTCTAGGATTTTCAAATGCAACATTAATCAAGTCTATTGATTCTTCTGGTGAAATAAATTTATCTGCTAATGCTGCAAGACAAATACAATCTAATCCACCAGAAAACATTATGGCGACACGAGCATCACGTTTTGATCTAAAGTTGTTATTATTATTATTATTATCAGAAAATATATTATTAATATTATTATTAATATTTTATTTTTAAAAAATTTTCATTGTTTGTTTACCCAATTCTTGGAATATCTACGACGCGACGACGTACTGAATCACTTAATTCATCAATCATCTGATCTATAACTAATTTCATTTCCGAAGAAATTGGGGGAATGATAGAATCTAATGGAATATCTGCCAATAATTCTGGTAATACTGAAAGTTCATTTTGATTAGGAATTGCATTATTTAATTTATCGAATGGTAATTTCTAATTAAAAGAATTAAAAAAAAAATTTTATTTTAACATTAATGTGATGATAAAATATCAGTTCAGTTAAACAAAACTTTTTTGTCCTTGCCAGCATATAAGACAATTCCTTATTCTTCTCGTTTGAATCGATCTCTTCAAGCCACTTGTAGTGTTTTAGAAATTTTTCTAATGGCTCTAAACATGAAATTAAAAATAAACACACGTATAACATTAATTGGATTTTTAGAAGACAAACTTTCCTTCCCAACTCGGAATAATTCTTCACCTGACATATCATTTGAAGATAACATTTCTCCCACATTTAAGCAATAAATTCCATCAGCTGGAACCTCTTGGAGATAAGATTCTGTCGTTATGGTATTCAAAAATTCATTAGGTATTTTACATCCAACCGAAGTTAATAAAAAATTCTCATCAGCAAATGGAATATTCCATAATAAAGATCTCCTTCCTAAACAATCACGCCCGAACCATAACTTTCGCTTTGAGTTCTAATGATTTAAAAAATTCAATACATTTTATAAAATCACGACTAATAAATAAATGATAAAGATATTAAAAAAAGATCGATTGATGGTAACCTGCCAATAAACAATTGAATAAGGACCCTCAATCTTTTGAAGTATACTGAGGACACAGTAATCATCCTTGTCAGTAACACAATCTTGCTTTTCATTCTCTTTTAGTGCTTTGATTAATTGTATGGTATCATTTTCACCTGTAGGTACCTAGATTACAATTGATTACAACAATAAGTTATTCTTTGATTATTGTTGAATGATATCTTTGAGGAAGTAAAGATCGCAAATATTCTTACATTCAAACCATCAAATATTTCTCCATTCAATAACAAAATATCTTGATCATCACTTATGAAAGGTTGCTTTATGACACGTTCACCACGTAAATGCAATACCGCCCCATAAAATTCCATAAAAATTCCATTATTAGGAAATATAGATGATTTAAATGATAAAGGAAATAACTCTTGACTATCAGGACCTATATATACATATATATGATAGTAAAATAATCTTTCCCACTTTATCATTTAATTTTACTTTATATTTACCTCGGTTTTTATTTTGAATAATCAATCGATTCCACAATTCATCGTGAAAATAATTATTATCCGATAAAGTAATTTTTGTGTCACTGCGACGTTCCAGGCTAAATAAAATTCCACACATTTCAAGAGAAGCTAAAGAAAATGTTAAAAAGAAATTAATGCTTGATAGTTACACAATCACTCGTAGTATAGAATATTATTCCTTTTTCGGTGAAGTCACGGCACGAAATGCTTTCGTCCAATTGGTGAATACTGTGAGGACCTAGGCAAAAAACACTTGTCAACGATACTCTTTTTTGGGAAGCTTTTCGTGACCCGAAATGGAAAAAAAAGGTCGAGAATTTAATATAATCGAGTACGCAATCGAGGACACACCGTACTCCTGACCATTGATTATGTTTTTATTCAAAATTAAATAAACTTACATTTTATATAAAAAATATCGATCATGCAATTCGAATTAATTATTTAAGACAACGGGTTACTAAGCTCGAGGTTGAAAATATCAAATTAAAACAGATCATAGAAGAAATTGCTAATCTTAGGATTGAGAATATGTTCAGGTATTCAAGAAAAATCGTAAATTTCAAAACAGATAAATAAGATAATTAAGGAAATTCTTAAAGATGAACTGATAATTGAGTATCGCCCTTCTTTTTTAAATGGGTTAGAACCTGATGCTTTCTTTCAAAAATATCAAATTGCATTGGAAGTGCAAGGAAGCCAGCATTGGTTTCATAGTATTAGCTGGTATAAAAATATCAAAAAATTCGAAGATATTGTTAATCGTGATCGGCAAAAAGATGCATATGTCAAGATAACGGAATTTTCCTTCTTGAGGTATGGTGAAAAACCAGAAATTGTTATTCCTAAATAGATACCAAAAATTAACTTTATTAATCAAGTATCCAAAAGATTTGACAAGTGGATTGGAACAATAAATATTACTCCATATGCGATAATCTAATGAACTGTGAGAATTAAGTGTCGATCACATATTAGTTTAAATAGTCAATTACAAATTAATTAAAACTTTTTTTTTTCTGCAAACAATATCATTCAAGTATCATTTCTCAGAACAAATTATACATTAAATGGTCCTTGGCATTTGATTAAGCAAGATATAAGCTTCTTGCTATCAGAAGATAAGAAGGATTTGAGGAAGTAAAACGAAAGTGAATCATTATTGACAAAGAAGTGTCACGTTTTGTGAAGGAGAACCAAGTATTTCTGCCAAACACCATTTAATCGACGGAAAAATCGAAGCCTACGAAATTCCTCTCGACCCTCACGCACTTGGTACAAGAAAGTTAATTATTCTTATAGATAACTGGAATGATCAGTTGTTAACTATGGGTGAAATAGATATTATCGTGAATGCGAACAGTGTCTATCATCCTGATATTTGTGTTTGACCAATAAATCGCCGACGACCTCCACTCGCACAAGCAATCAATTCAACGGGAAACCATATCCAACTCCGGTGGTGGAAATTGGAAGCATCGAAAGTTTGAACCATATGCATGATAATGTAGCAAATTATTTTTCTGTACGGACTACTATTTAGCCATCAAGTTGTACAACGTCGCGAGGATAATATTTTTGCGCTTCTTGCACTATTTTACTTGCGTAACAATTAAAATCCAACAATACCTGTTATTGCTAAATCATTTGGTACAGCACCTCTTCACCATTCCTCATGAGTATATCTTCTAAATGATATACGCGTTTCAGTCAATATAATTACTGGTGTCGATGTCGAATTTGACGGGATTTCAGAAGATCTATAATTATTTTTTGTTTTTAATGTATAATTACATTTTCACAAACCAGATGTAAAAATAACAAATTATTCATGATTGCTCCATTGGAGCTCTGTCACATGTATAGAAATTAAAACTTTATTATTATAATTACAATACACGGAAAAATCAAATTACAGTATAAAAACCGTGAAGTAATAATAAATTTATTAGTATCTTTAAGAAAAACAACTATAATCGCTTTATTATTTCAACAGAATGATTTATGAACTATTCAAGCTTATTCTCGTGTTACAAACACTGACGATAGTATTAAAACTTGAATGAATCTTCTCAAATTTTATAGAATGATGCAATTTTACGGAATCACTTGTAACTTTAGATGATATTACAATTACATTACAATATCAACGTTGTAACTTTTTTTTTCTAAAATTTGGAAAAAAAAAAGAATATGCACCTTTATCCTTACATGTTGGTTTGCAGTAATTTCCTGGTTTAATAGACTTGCTAATATTCATGACAAGATAAATTGTATAGTAGTGAATTGATTAGCCTGTATTTTAATTATAGAACTTGAAGGTGAAGGAATAAGAAAAATGAAAAATCGAAGTTCTCGCACATCCAGAGTTGGCAGAGTGATTTCGGTTTGTGGAGGTTAAATAGGCATTACTAAAGGACATGATTGTGATTATAACCATTCTGAAAAATGTAGGGCTATATTTGTAAAGGTGTAATCTCTTGGTCTCTGCTAGACTTGTTGGCTTAACTGAGAATGAAGCTCCTTGTTTCCTGTTGATTGCTCAAAGTTTATTACTGAATTTATCTTTTAGGGTGATTGTTTAGAAGAAATAGAAGAAATTAAAAAAGATGAATCAAGAGAGAAAGAAATAAGTACTAAAATCAACAAATCAAAGAACTTCAGCTGATGAATTTAACGAAATTTCCAGTTAATTATAATGACATAATGGAAATGGAAATATATAAAGTGTAATTAGTATAATTTAGAATCTGTTATTGTAATAATCTAATGTATCCATTATAAAATTTTTTATTTATTGATAAATTTCACACATGATGTAAATCACTAATTGAATTTTTGTGTAACCAGATGAATTATTGCTTAAACTTAAGGTTTTATAACTTTGCACTTTCTATTTATCGAATTATTGTTCTTTAAACACTACACTTTAAAAAATACTTATGTTACAGATTATTCTCTTATATTAAAGATCCAGCCCTCAAAATTTCCAAGAATGTAGTAATCATAAAGTTCTATCGAAAACCTTATAACCAAAATTACTGTTAGAAAGGAAACTATTTTTCTGCAAGCTAATTTTACTTTTAATTTTGTAAAAATTATTTGATTTTCTGAAGCCCTAAAAATATCTTAACCTTTTTATAAAAATTTTGGCTTTATAAGATATATTGGGGAGCAAAAAAGACAAAAAATTCACGGGATTACAAAAAATCATGGTTGCACAAATCAATTATGGAGATTCCATATTAGCTATAATATATTATTATTTTTTAAAAAAATAGATTAATAAATATTATTATTTACTTTTTCAACATTGTCTAATGAGTTTTTGATAGTTTTATTAGACTTATTCAAGTTAAATTTTTGAGATTATTATTATTCATATTTAACATTCTTTAAAAATACTACAACTTTGAACTCCAGATTGAATAGAAAGAATATATACCACATATCCAAATAATGTCTGAATATTATACTTCTAGATTAATATTTTATAATTCTTGTTTAGATAAACTCCTGCAAAAAGTAAAATCGTGATTATTTTTAATTTAGATTTTTGAATTTTTATCGATTTTAGGCCGGCATTATAAATTTGGCCAGAATTATGAAAATTTCGGCCAGAATTATGAAAAAAAGATTACCAATTTTTAACAAATACACGAACTTTGTAATTTCTAATTATTGTTGATATGTGATATACATATTAAAATAAAGTTGTACCAAAAATACAGTATAACCTGTTATATAATAGTCAAAAAAATTTACTCAAAAATTTGTTATTATATAATTACATAATTTATTTCCAAATAAATAAAATCCGTATTATACATATATAATTATAATATTTACATGTCAAAATTCAAAAAGAAAAGGGAGTTACGACAAGTGCCTTTATCAAAATTTCTCTTTTTCTTTTGAATTAAGTAAGATCTATATAACAAAAGCGAAATATAAATAATAATATAATATAACAGAACAGGTAATAATATATAACTATTCTCTTGATAATTTAAAATTCTTTTTCGTTTTAAATCATCTTTTTTTTTTTTAATAAAAAATATAATCGTTAATAATAAAATAATAAATAAATTAAAATTTTAAAAATATATTACTTCTGGCAATAATTCATCTTTTTCCTAAATTATTTGTTTGATTTGAATTATTTAAAGTATCATACTTGGTATTCATTATATCAAAATGATCATTAGAGAGATCTATAGAAATATTTATGTATATATATATATATATATATATATAAGAAATTATTATCAATATAATGAAATTATTTCAATCTTAAAAAATCATTTAAACCAATAAAATACCTGATAATTTTGAATTAATAGATTCTAACATGGAATTCAATGATATACTGTAATATCTAGAATTGGGATGCTCATATCCTGGATTTTTTACAAACGGTTTGTCGAATTTAATCATTCTAAGTCGTTTTGCTTCAGTTTCATTAAATTCTAACCAAATATCCGGACATTTTTTTTGAAAATAGTCCTTAGAATAATAATGAGGAGCATAATAATAAATAAAATTTTTTGTTAAATCATAAATTTCTTCTATATCAGGTCGTTGAGAAGGATTCGGGTCCCAACATCTTTCCATTAAATTCACCCAACAATCCGGTGTATCTTCGGTAATTTCTGGTCTTTTTCCATCCAAAATATCTAATATAAGTTTGGGTCCATGATCCTGATCATGAAATGGTCTATGTCCTGATGTTAATTCCCATATAATCATTCCTAAACTATATATGTCTGATGCAAATGAATATGGTTTTCCCTTAAAAAGTTCTGGTGCCATATATGGAATTATTCCATATATTTGAGATTTTCTTGAAAGATATGGTTTAATAGTTGCTGGTTGACTCATTCCTAAATCAGAAATAATAGCCCGATTTTTAATAAGAATATTTCCACTATGTAAATCTCGATGTAAAATTTTCTTATCATGAATCTTTCTAATTCCATCAACTATTTCTCCTAAAAATTTAAGTTTTAATCCCCAAGTTATTTCTTCAAAATTTCTATTTAAAAAATGATGTAAGTCTCCATTTTTTGCATAATCTAAAATGAATGCATAATTTTTGGTTTGTGGAATTTGGGTTACTCCATGACATTGGATTGTATATCCCCCAAATTGATATCCCCCAAACTGATATGTATATTTTAACTAAATATTATACATATAAATATAATAAAATATATAATAAAATATATAATAAAATATATAATCAAATATATATATAATAAAATATATAATAAAATATATAATAAAATATATAAATTTTAATAAAAATAGTTGTTACCTCTTCAAAAAATTCAGTATCCATATTTTGGGAATTATTTAGGACTTTCAAAACCACATCAGTCGTCACCTTTAAAAAATGTCCTTTTTGACCTTTTTTAGCTGTATAATATGGTTTTCTCCAAGTTGCCTTATAAATTTCGCTAAAACCTCCCTTCGCAATAAATTCTACATTTGTTATATCTTCATATGGAACCCATGATAAAAATTCACCATGTTCACTTTCTTTTGAAATTTGAGTTTCTTTGATGAAATCATCAATGTCTTTATTTCCACTGTTAACAATTTGAGAGTTCATAGCATCACACCGTTGACAGAAACGAAATCGATTAATACGTTTCCTTGTGATGCATATTCTACATTTAATTAATTCAGAAGATCCATCAAGTTTTCTTGTTTTAAAAGTCATTTTTTAAATAAGATAAGAACTTAAAATTTATTTATATTTATTATATTTATTTATATTTATTATATTTATTTATATTTATTATATTTATTATATTTTATTGAATGTAAAATAGTCGACCAAATTTGGAAATATAAACACAATTTGTTTCATAATAATCTTTAAATTTAATATATTTGACACTGGAAATGCAAAAAAAAAATTTATGCTTAAAATTAAAATGATTACATTCAGGAATAAAGTGACAAACATTTAAACCGATAATTATGATGATTAGGTTAAAATTTCTATTTTCGGTTTGTGTCACAAACCTTTGACTTTATTGTAAAAAAAAAAATTTTTTTTTGGTTATCTTGTAGCTAGTCCTTTGTGACAGTTTGACAAACACCTTTTCTTAGATGAATACTTGAATATGGTAAAAAAAAAAAAAAAATCAACGAAAATCTAATCTGTATCAAAATATAGAATGATAAATAAATAAGATTTTCGAAAGTTATTAAAAACGAAACCTTTTAATATATAATCTATTAATCGCCAAACCATACTTTATAGCTGTTTTATTAATTTAATAGTAAGAATTTTTAATCTCTATATTTAGAAAAAAAAAAAGTCGGAAATTTTTTACTATAACCAAGTAGAGTAGCAATGAGATTTCTTTCAAATTATACAATGGTTTTACATAAAAATAGGAATTTATTTCTTATTTTCAAAATTTATTTTTTTTTTTGTAATGTAAAAAAAAAATTCATAGAAAAGGAAATTTGTTTATTATTTTAGTTTAATTAATTTGATAATCAGAACAACAAAATTTTGTTTACTTTGTATCATTGCAATTTTTGGTTCATTTCTATGGCTTGACCTTAATAAAAGCTGTGCTGTTGACTTTAAAAGCTTAATTTTCAGAAACCGATAATTGTTAATTTACACAATTTACGGTGATAATTTTTTCCATCCATAAGCGCACAAGTAATTTTATGTTCAATAATTGGTTCATTAAGAGATAGGTTATTACGATTATAATAATGGAAAAGTAAATATTTGTATGAGAGTTTTAATATAGATTAATTGCATTTAAAATAACCTGCTTAAATCCAGTAAACTTTTGTCGGGAGCGCTAAATTCTCCAATGGTTAACATAAAATAAAGAAACAAATGTACTTCCTAAGTTAAAGCATAATTATTTTACATATCATTATATAAAGGCAACAAATTCGTTAAAAGTTTTTTGCCTTTTTCTTAACATTACGAACTTCATTTTTCAAAATGACTCATTCTCATCAACATTTATTTTCGAAATTTTTGAAAGTCCCTCGATCTTTTAGAAAAGAACAAGGTTTTATAATGAATTAAAATTTCCTAAAAATTTTGTGCTTACATTATTGATAAATGTATTAAAATAATATATAACGGATAAATTAATGAAATTAAATAAAAATTATTAATAAAATTATTAATAAAATTAATAAAATTAATAAAATTAATGAAATTAAATAAAAATTATTAAAATTATTAATAAAATTAATAAAATTAATAAAATTAATAAATTAAATAATTCAAATATAGATAAGAGAGGAAATTTCAGAGGATTTACACCCTTTGACACTCAACAATTACTTCTTGCTCAACAATTGAGTGATAATTATTTCAAAATCTCTATTGAAAATGCTGGAGATCAGCCCATTAACGCAGTGTTAGCTCAAGCCGATAAAGATGCCCAAGTTTATGACCCTGAATTAGTTCGTTATGCTCTCATGGTTTGGATTGTTCATGATCCAGAAGCTCGTCGCCGAAAAATTAAAATTCCACCCTTAGGATCACGTGCGGATCATATCGTGACCCCAGGATTGTCATTACAAGCATCCACCGGGAGAATTCCTCTTGAATCTGGTGATCCTCTAAGTTGGTGGAGAGAAGATCCAAATTTGTGTGAACATCATGAACATTGGCACATTGTGTTTCCGGCCTTCCCTGTTAATGGTAAAAGTAAGGATCGGGAAGGTGAAAATTTTGTTTTTATGCATCGACAAATGTTAGCAAGGTAAATAAAGTTTAATTTTATATTTTATATGTATATTTATTTATATTAATTGTTATTATAATTCTGTTAGATATGACATTGAACGTATTACGCAAGGTCTTAAAATTGCAAAACCTTTGGATAATTATAATGAAGAGATTGAGGAGGCCTATGACCCGAATCCTAATTTATCCACAAATCCCGATGATGATCCAACAACTGCTGATATTCCTTTCGCAGCTCGTAGCGTAGGAAGTACACTTAAAGATTTAGGCAAATATTAGGTGTCTCGTAATATTTAATATTATTAATATCTGTAATAACATGTAAATATCTTTTAGGTGGAAATAATACGATCGCTATGATGACACAATATAGGAACCAACTTATTGATTCTATCAATGGAAGGGGAAGTACACCTTTTGGAACGGATGACAAATCAGCAACTTTAGTAGGAAACACTTTAGAAACTACCCTACATAACCTTGGTCACGTTATGATTGGTTCGTGAAGAAGATTTATCTAGCATTTATTTACTATTATTTTTTTTGACTTAAATATAACTCTTCAAATTTATTATAATAGCGTATATTATGACACCCGATGATCTTGATAGTAATTATTTATTATTATTATTATTATTATTATTATTATTATTGCATTAACAAAATCCGAGTTGACTGACTGATTAATACTTTTACCCGAATGCAGGTTCTGGTGTGTCACCAGGTGTAATGATCGAAACCAGAACAGCGTCTCGAGATCCTGTTTTCTACCGATGGCATCGTCACATAGATGATATATTTGCGGTGAATAATCCTAGGATTAATATAATAATCTTGATCCATTCATTATTCATTATTTAATATTATTTGTTCATCAAAATATTTTATTGCGTGTATATATATATATATATATATATAGCTTTGGGAAAACAAACAAGCACCTCATGACTTCAAAGATGCACCACCTGTTGTAATCAGACAAAATGATATCATTCTTTCTTTTAAAGATAAATTATTGGAAGTGGATGCAAACGGAAACTCCGATGGTTGGTTTGAATATGCAAAAAGAGAATTTGGTGGCCAGAATTTCGATTCAGATGTATCTCATAATACAGTGGTAACCAATGAATTGGAAACTGAGATGAGGGACAGAGATTTTATATGGGCTGAAGATAATAAGTCTTCGTCCAAAATTACATATTTATATCCAAGGGAATTCTATTATTTCTTCCGTGTTCAAAATACTACTAATGAGGTATTGTTTTTTTAAAGGTGAAAATTTAAACAATTTTACATTTTTCACATAATATTTATCGTATAATTATTTGATTTAGCCCATTGATATCACTTTACGAGTATTCCTTGTTCCTGAAGAGTTAAAGGATTCACGTGTACATTGGATTGAATTAGACAAAATAAGAAAAAAGTTAGGACCTAATGAAAAGGCAGTTTTCTCTCAAGACTGTGATGAATCTGTGATAATTCGTAAACCCGCTCAAAAGACTCCCGATCAAATGGATAGATCCATTACTCCTGCTGAAGCGGAAGAAGCATCAATCTTAAGTGGTGATGCAAAATCTGATGAATTCTTCTGTGATTGTGGATGGCCATTTAATCTTTTATTACCACGAGGTTCTAAGGAAGGACTGAAATGTAAACTTTTGGTGTTTATCACGGATGGCGCGCTAGACACTGTACAATCACCGACTCAACCTAAGAAATGTGGCAGTTTATCATTTTGTGGTGCACAATGGGGAGAGCCATACCCTGATGCTAGACGTATGGGTTATCCGTTCGATAAGCCTTTCAAGAATAACTCTTTTGAAGATACTTTTGCTGGATTATCGAATGTAGCTATTCGCGATGTTTCTATTAAATGGGTTAAAGATTTCCCTGATGTTTCAATCTTATTGTAAAAAGATTTTTTTTTTTTTTTGATATGTTGCAACTTAATTTAAAACTTATCTTAAATGTATCAAAAATGTATTGTATATCTGAATAAATTATTTTTTAATAAATATTCTATGAAAATATAAATATATAAAGGTTTGCTTAATTTTCTTTTCGAAATGAATTTTGATAATAAAAAAAAAACATAAAAATGTTAAAAGCAGCAATACTTTTCTATTAAACGTAAGCAATATTACAAACAACTTATTCTAACAGCAAAGTATTTTAAAATGATAATAAATGAGCAAATCATTACAATATACTAATAAAAGAACCACAAATAACATAAGTGATATTTAGTATTGGATAATGTTCAACAAAATCTGATGCACTTTATCATATAAATTCGTTCAAAGGCCATTGAATATTATTGGTCAGGACATTTTCGTAGCGGAGCAGTTATGATCATCACCTGAAGAAGTTCACTTTTCAAAATAACTAAAATAATTGTATTGTGATCGCAAATAATTTATAGATCGAACTTAGAATCTTTGAAATAAATTTATTGTTGTATTGTTGTATTGATAAACATTTTACAGTTATTACGCGTAATCTAATGATAAATTGCATAGGATATTAATGTAAATTATATGCAAAGAAAATCACGTCACACAAAAAACACAAAAAACAGAATTAAAAAAGTATAAATTGATGTTTTTAATTCAATCTTTCAATTGTACATATTTTATTTTATCCTCAAGTTCTTCTTCTTAAAGACAAATGCTTCTTTTTTAATAATGAAAATGAATATATATTTCACCAAATGTGATTACTAAAGCAGATTTTTGTTTCACTAATTCTCCTTTTTTTATTAAATAATATAATTCTTAAATTTTTAACATTTCGAAAGATTAATCTTATGTATAATTTTTCTGTGTAGCGTTACGTTCATTTTCTTCTACAATTATTGGTTTTATTTTTTACATTTGATTTGATTTTGATAAATCAATTATGCCCAACAATTCCTTGAGATATAAGGTTTATAAGCAAAAAAACCTTTTAGATAAAAATTTAAATGGAAAAAATGCTAAAGATAATTTTGATAACTCAGATAATCTATTTACAAATGATTTAAAGTTAAAAAATCAGATTTCTAGTAAAATAAGTTTATGTACCCTTCCTACCGAAATACTTTTGAGAATTTTGTATGAACTTATCATATCCGAAAGTCCAAACCCTCCCAAAACCGCTATACTTTCATTTCCTTTAGTTTGTCGAGTCTTATATAAACTCTCAAGTGATCGCATTATATGGGAACAAGTGTTTCTTTCTGAATATGACGTTTCAGCAAGAAAAAGAAGGTTTTCCGTTTGCAATTCAAGAAAAATTTACTATCGAAGATCATTATTAAATGTAGATCAGATGAATTCAAGTCTTGATGCATTGGAAAATTCTTTAAAAAATAAATTATTACCAGAAAAAGAAGAACAAAAAGTTATCGACAATGTTTTAGAAGTTTTAACTCGTTTATGGGTTCTTGTCTCCGAAGATGGTAATGTTATATATCTTTTATTATTAATCATTAAAATCATTAACATTTATTATTCATTCGGTTCTTGATTTAATTTTTAATTTTTAATTTTTAAATTTTTTTTTTTTAAAAAGATGAAAGAAATTCAACGAAACTTAATAATTTACGTGCTTCGGAGTTTTGTGCTAGTGTTTTTTATTTATTATACGCGGATTTGGAGTCTACATTTAAATTTAAAAATTTTGTTTGTATATTCATTGCTATAAAAATAATATCAATAATGTTAACTTACGGTAAACACATTTTTTTTTACATAAATTTATTTATTTGTTTATTTATTTTATTTATTTATTTATTGATAATATATAATTTATATGAATTTATAGGAAATTTACAACAAGAAGAGATTGTGAAGAATGTAGCAATAAAGTTACGTGAACGTGTGTTAAATTGGGATCCCAATAAACACGCCGTGTTTCCCATGTTTGATTGTCACGCTCTCCATATTTATTTAAGATATATTACAAAAGATGAGAAAAAGCCTCTAGATCCAGATTCTAGATTATTTGATTCTCGTAAATCTGATGAGAAATTACAATGGACTGATATGGTTGATGTAAGTTATATTCTAATTATTAATTGAAATCGTTGAATCTTTGAATCGTTGCGACGATTTATAAAGTAAATAAATAATCAAATTTATTATTATTATTATCAAATTTGTTAAAAGGTATATTCTTCCAACAAGATTTTATGGTGTCTCAGAAATGATGGATATGATTTTCCTTACGGTCCACCAAGATATTGGACTGGATTATGTATAGATAACGATAAATTAATTGTCGACAAGTTTTTACTTGTGGATTTCGATTTCATGGAACTTCAAGTAGTCGAAGAACACAATGAAGAAGAAGAAGAATATAATGAAGAATTTGGAGATGTTGATAAATGTACCTATAAAGATAATTTAAGTTATATTATAGAGGGCACCTTAACAGATGATTCCGGAAAATCCTTTCATATCGAAGGATTTTCAGTTCCAATTGATAATGGTAGAAGAGTAAGTTTTCGATATGTTGATAATACAAAAACAATTGGTACCAATAATGAATATAAAGTATGGAATTATTACGGATATTTGACTGCATATGGAATTATTGGTAAATGTTGGCCCGACGGAATGATAGTTGAGAATGCAAGTTTTTTTTGGCTTTGGGAAGACATATAGATTAAAAAATAAATAATAGAGAATAATTTATTTAGATATTTTTTCTTCCAATGTATTTTATTTATATTGCATTTTTTTTTCAAAGCAACAACGAAAAATTATTTATTTGTTTAATAAAGAATTTTTATAGACAAAAATATTATAGATATTATAAATAAATATTGTCAAACCAAAATATATCCTTCCCCCCTCTAAATCTCAAAAATAATGCCTTAGTAATGTAAAAATTAAATATAATGCATAAATAATGTCTCGATCATTTTTAATGAAAATTTTATCAAATCACAAATTTATTTATGTAATAAATCTATCTACTGTTTATTTAAATCATTCGATCAATAATATCTTGAAGAATATCTTCTGCATCTTGTTCGCCATTATCTCTAGCTTTAGTTAACCAATGAAACATTTTCAAAATATCTTTTTGCGTTCCATAACCATTCTTAAAACATTTACCAACTTGTAATTGACCAAATGCATAATCATTTTCTGCTGATAACAAATACCATTGATATGCTTTTTCATCATTCTTCTCGACTCCAATTCCTTTATGATAACAATAACCAACATCACATTGAGCTATATCATATCCTGTTTCTCCTAGTTTCAAATACCATTCAAATGCTAGTTTTTCATTTTTTTCAACACCTTTACCATGTTCGTAACAATGAGCCAATACATATGCTGCTTCAATATTTCCTGCTTGAGCCGATTGTAAATATAATTGGAATCCTTTCGCTTCATCTATTTCAACACCTAAACCATCCTGGAAACAATATCCAAGATTACATTGACCGACAAGATTTCCATTCTTTGCGGATTTATGATTCCATTCAAGTGCCTTTTTGTCGTCTTTTTCATCAACACCTCTTCCACTATTATAACAATACCCGACACATGATTGAGCCCAACTTGAGCCATTTTCTGCTGCATCCATAAGTATTTGAAATGCTTTCTTTTCATCTTTCTTTAATCCCAATCCATTATAATACAATAATCCAAGAGAAATTTGACCAATCGACTGATTGTCTCTTTTAAATATATCATAAGTTGAAAGAGATTCCGAGTCCTCAAGCATATCATATTCGGATTCATCAACTGACAGTGAATACATTTCAAAAGCCATTTCATAGTCGACTAATGTACCAACTCCGTGTCGATAGAAAAATCCCACTAAACTAGTGAAATAAGAAAATCTTGGATGTTGAAGAATTTGCGCAAATACTTTAGTGGGATTTTTATCAGCTTTTTCCATATATTTTCTAACCATTAAAGCCACGTGTTCGGAATGATGTTGCATATTGAATTGGTCAACATAGTGTTGAAATAATTTCTTAATATAATAATCTATTTCCTCAAAGGTTTCTTCCGGAGGCACATCAATTTTAATATCCGATGAAGATAAAATAGAATCCTCGGTGTCATCTATGTCAGCAATTTCTATATTACTCTTCGTTCCATTCTGTGCAGATTTAGAACTTTCACCATAATCTTCATTATATACGTACGAAGAATCGGCAATATCTCTATTATTTTCATCAAAAAAAAAAAATTAAAATTCTTTAATATAATAATTTTACAAAGTAAAATAGATAAAATAAAATAAGTTTAATTATACCCATTAGTTTCAATATTATCTTTGGTTAAATTATCAAGTATCGACATTAAAATTTCGTATTCGGTTATCACATCATCAACATCGAGTTCATTAAGTTCTTTGTAAACTTGTTCAACAGTTGGACGTTTAGTATCATCGTGTTGCCAACTTTCTATAAAATATTAAATAATCTTTTGTTTTATTATCATTCAATGAATTAAATAATAAAATAATTTTAATATTAAAATGGAATACCTTTATAGATTTTCGCATATCTTCGAGGAGTTCCTTGTTCAACAGTTTCTCGTTTACCTCTAACAATTTCTTTTATCAATTCATTGTTTGATAATTTTTCCGATTCAAATGGAACTCTACCACTAGAGATTTCCCAAAGTAATACCCCTAAACTGTATATATCCGAACTTCTTTTATGACCAATTGATAAAAGAATTTCCAAAATTTGAGGATCCATGTATTGAAATGAGCTAAGTGATTGTACAAGTAAATTTGAAAATTCGGCCATTCTTCGGGATATTCCGAGATCACTTAATCTAATATGACCTTTTTGAACAAGAATATTTTCGGAATCCTATTTTTATCATTTGGGAAAATATAAATAATTTTTAATAATCTGATATTTGAAATATGAAATATAAAATGATTTAAAGAAAAATATTAAATAATTTATTAAAAATATATTAAAAATATATTAAAAATATATTCACCAAATGCCCATGGACAATTCCATTTACGTGCAAACACATAACTGCACTAGTCACTTCTCTTGCAAGTTGTAATTTATTACTCCAATTTAATTCACTAAAATGGGATTCTAAATACTGACGTAAAGAACCTCCATCAGCGTATTCAACAACCAACTTAAATGTATCGTGGGATGAAACTAAATAAATTTATGTCAAAACAAAATATTTAGAAAAAATTAAGTTTAAATAAATAAAAATAATAAAATGCTTACATCTAGTTATTCCATAGAATCTCAAAATGTTATAATGATATTCCAATTTTTGATGTTGTTTAATCTATATTATATTCAAAATAGCATTCATTGCATTTATTCAAAAAAATCATCGAAAAAAAACGAAACAAATTTAAATAAATTTAAAAACTACCTCATTTATCATATCCTGAAGTTTGAATTCTTCCGTTAATGAAATTGGCTTAAGGACTACGGTTCTAGTGGGATTTCTCAGTTCAGCTTTAAATATAGTTCCATGAGAACCGGCCGCAACCTCTTCAAATCGTTCAAATTCATTGTGAGAGTAAACTACAATATGTTCCCTTTGAAGTATTCTATTAATTATTGTTTCGTCCATTCCATTAGTTAAATTTTGGTCCGTGGTGCTTAAAATTTCATCCGACATTATGACAGTTGATTTATTATATTCCGTTAGGGGAAACAATGTATTTGTGCAAGATTGAAACTTGGGTTAACAATGTCGATTATATCGATTTTTGGAAATTTTTTTTTTTGAAATTATCACTTTAAACAAAAATTATACTATTTTACAGAAATTTTCAAAAATCTTTCGTTTGTAGTAGTAGTAGTAGTACGGTTTTTGGTTAGTTTCGGCATCACGCTTCTCCTGGTTGGGTCAAAATTATAAATTAAAAAGATTTCAAAGATGAAAAAAAATTTAATCAATAAAAAATTACCGGCAAACGATGTTGCTGGCAAAAAAGATAGAACAACGGAAACTACTAAGAATTCATTTTTGTAATATTGAAAGAAATTATTAAATAGTTATATTATTTTTTTAAAGATGTGAAAGCTAAAGTGAGGATGGAAAGAATGGATAATAACAAGTGTTTTTATAGAATTTTTGCCCATAAGTTAAAGATTCACTCTACAAGATATGGTTAGACATAATTGCATTTTTCTTATATTTGGGATAAGAATAATCTCGTAAACAATTTCCTCTGATAATTTATTTACTTTTTACATTCATTAAATAATAATACAATAAGCAAAGAATACAAGAATAATATCACAATTTCGAGAAAAACATTTACGTCTTTTATTTATGAAACGGCGGCGAAGTATCGTAGATATTCATGATACGCGCATTTCTATTTTTTAAATAATTTAAATAATTGACCAAAAATTGATCTTTGATGGAGAACTAATTTTGGGCCATAATACATATTAATCATAGCTATTTGTATCTCATTTTATGTTTAACTTAACAATAAGTTATAAAGACAACAATTTCGTTTTAAAAAGTTATAAAAATTTACAATTTTCACAAAAAGATGGAATTTATTCTTAGTCTTTTATCATGTGTATTATTATCTACATTGAAGCTAAAGTTGACCAAGAGTAATACAAGAATCTCTTAAAAACAAATCATACTATTATAAATGTAAAGCTTACAAAGAGACATCGAAGCTTCTCCCTACTCTATGAGATGCAATTCATCTCAATATTATTACTACACTCGAAATTTTTTTTTTTTGAAATTATCACTTTGAACAAAAATTATATCACAAAGAAAATTGAGTTATTATTTAAAATAAATAAATCTTTATTTGACAAGACAAATTTAAAAATCACATGGCCCTCCTATCCAATAATTGGAAAAATTCTAGAAAAATAGAAAAATGAAAAAAAATATACATCAAATAAAAATATTTACATTTAAATGATAATGTAATTTCTGCCTGTAATGCTCAAAAGATTCAAGCATCAACCTCACATATATAACAGTTCAAAATGTATATTATGTGGAAGGTATGAGGAAACTGATATACATGTGTTTGAGTATAAAAGAAATAATAATGAAGAGAGTGAGTACATACCAATGACAAATCATTACAAACAACTAATTAATTGTTTAACTATAAAAATTCAAAAACAAACAGATGATATAGAGGAAGACAAAATACAAAGTGAACTTAGGTCCCTAAGTGAATTATGGAAGTTTTGGAGAGATACAGTTGAAATGAGTTCACCTAGGATCATATTACATGAATTAATCAAGGGATTCATATCACAATCATTAGTATTTAAAGTTATATCAATATTGAAATTTAGAGAAAGAACCAGAAAAACAATTATTGAAAAAATGGTTAACTTCAAAGAGTATTTAAAAATTACTGAAAGGAATGGTTTGAAAAAGTGATACTATAGGAAACTAAAAATAATATTACAAATAGATTGAAAAAGAAAGACCAATTTAAAAAAGGTGAGAGAAATAAGAGAATATATCAGGAAATTTTGAGAACAAATATATCCAGATATATTTGAGAATTGAAAAAATTCAAATATATGTAAATATATTCACATAAATTCATGAATTTATTTGGATTTTTTCGATTCTCAAATATTTGGAACAAATATATCTAGATATTTTTTGATTTAGAAAAAATCCAAATAAATTCGTGAATTTATGTAAATATATTTACATATATACAGATTTTTTTGATTCTCAAATATATCCAGATATATTTACCACTATACCTGCCACCCAAATTCAAAATCCAAATGCCAAAATTCCAAATGCCAAAATTCCAAATCCCAAATCTCAAATTATGATTAGTATTTTTTGCTGAAATCCCAAATTCCAAATCCCAAATACTAGTAATTTGGAATTTTGGCATCCCAAATTCCAAATGATTTGGGATTTGGGCAACACGTATATGTAATACTATAATAATAAAATATATAATAATTAATAATAAAATAATACAGATATGAATAAATAAGATAATAAAATA